ATTGCCGTAGGTTGGGTACCAGAAAAAATATGCACATTGGTAGTAAATATATATATGTAATAGATATTTTGTTTTTCAATTTTTTTTTTAGAATTTTACATACCAAAAATCGCCGGGAGTTTTAGAGCTCCATTGCACTAAAATGTAGGTAAATAAGCATATCAACGTTCTTTACATCTACCCTTAAAGTATCAGTTTCTGTCACTAATAATGTAAATACAAAACAAAAATAATTTCAAATACCAAGATTTTTTTTAAAAAAAAACTATTTTCAACAAGGACCATGGTAAGAATTTGGTCTATAATAACCACTGGATGACCATCTTTTAGCTAGTTAATATTAAGCAGTAATAATAACATATTTTCATAATATCACAAATTCAAAATGTAATATTAAATAAAAATAACCTGGATAGGCTGCAAAAATAATTTGGCCAAAAATATCTCACTTTTTTCAAATTCGGTCTCATTCGATTCAGAATGATTTGAAACTTGAAATGACAGTGTAAATTATATTGATGACCCATTGGTGACCCCAAAATGATGAACAATATTTACCCCTGATTCAAAATCAATATGTGCTTCAGAACAATTCACCCAAAATAATTCTTTTGAATGTTATTCATAAATATTCAGCAAAATACTGAAAAATAATTTGCACGCGAACAGTACAATCAATTATTTATAAAATTTATTCACGCACACGATATAATTGTTTTCAGGTATTAAAACCTATTGGGAATTGTTTGAGAATTTTTAACGACTTTAATTGATTTTTTGAATGCAAAATGCTGTGCAATTATTTTGTCAATATGATTTAATATTCATTCATAATATGGCAATAATAGCCTTGTAAATTAAATCTAACTAGTTGGTATTGGTATTTTGCCTTGAGGCAAGTTACATGAACTTCCCGATATGCGCAAATAATCGACTTCATCAATAAAAAATAAATAAATTTATGATTGATTAAAAGTATTCCGAGTCGATTTGTTACACATAATTGAAAACGAACGAACACGTTAACTCGGAGTATTTTCTAAAAGCAAATTTTCAAAAATCAATCATTTTTATAATTGAACCAGTTTCCATAAGACTTTAATAGTTTAGTATGTTCATTAAGGCCAAGTACTTTATCGATATTTCAAGTAAATCGTCTAATTTTAATTTTAACAAACGTCAAAACAATTACTCATTTTCTCAAACTTTGATGAATTTTTAAAATTAAACGACTTATTGTAAGGCCATAATATTTGATTAAGTTTTTGAGTAAACGTCGATTTACGGCAAAAAATCTGTTTACAAACACGCACACACACACACGTACACACGCACATATACTTTTTTCAAATTTGGTCTCATTCGATTCAGAATGGCTTGAAACGTCGAGAAAACATAAAATCAGCGAATCGGATTTTTTGATGAAAACAAACTTCTCCTTCGGGAAGTTAATAAATATTTTTTTCATCATCATATTAGATTAGATTTATACATGCGTGTATAAAGATATAATATGTTATGTTTGCAAAATGCCAATACTTGTTTTTCCTACTTTATTTTTTAATTTAATTTTATTTACCCTAACATAAAGATTAGGGTGAATAAGATTACATAGGATTCATGTAACCAATATTATTAGTTTTAGTAATTATTATTTCTGAAGTGCATTTTTCTTACTAATAATTTAATAAACATTATTGTTTATGTTGAAATCTTGGGTGAATTAATTTGTAAAATCTAGTTCATATGTGCACTCTTCAATCTAAGATCATCTTGCTTAATATTCCATATCCAAAACAAATTAATATGTATGTGAGTATGAATGTATGAATACAATTAGTATGCCGAAATGTTCATAAACCTCTGATACGTGAAGATATGCAAAAATTTTCATTTTCGATTTATGGCTCATTACAATAACTTACCCTACGAAAAGTTAAAAATGCTAAAATGTTTCACACCATTTTATGAAAATAAATGTTGCAAACAAGTTAAGTGCATCTAACTGGCTTCCAACTCCTCCTCCGCGCATTTAATAGCAATAAACTCGGAACTATTTCCATCAATAAACTTTACTCGCAAGAAAACGAAACGGTTGTGGAGGTAAATAAACGAAACTACACAATCGTATTTGGTTAACGCCTGCAAAGTTGCCAGGCAGCCAGGAGAAACTAACCAAGTCAACAATGTTGACAATTCTTGTATGTTTTCAATCGATTTACTCAAACAAACTTCAGTAACATTTCAAACAAGTTGCGGCGGTCGGAATCAGAACCTGAAACCGAAGGGTAGAGACATTTGACATACGAGCAACCCTGATTGTTCTGATAGTAAAAAACTAGTTGGGTAACAAGACCCATAAAAATCTAATAAACTAGTTGTGAGAGGTATATTGGCTTAAGGCAACTTCCCGATACGTGTGCATAATCAGCTTAATCAATCAGAATTGAGAATGAAATCAATTTTTTTTTATTAACTTCCCGTGGGCCAAAAATCGAAAATGAAATTTTTTGCATTTCTCGACGTTTTGAAGGTTTCTGAACATTTTGGCATACTTCAGAAAAAATTGATGTGTGTGTGTATGTTTTGTATGTCCGCATTTTTTCGTCCACGTTTTCGGGCGCACGGATCAACCGATTTGAATGGTTTGAAAAACATTCGATTCCTATTGATAGGGAGATGTGCTGATTAGTTTTTGGCAAAGGCAGGTTCAACCGTTATGGAGATACGGAGCAAAGAGGGCAGAAAATACAAATCGAGATTTTGAGAGAACGGAGTATCAGATTTGAATGACCTAAAAAAACTTTTTACTTGTATTGACAAAACAATTGCTTTTGAGGATAAAAAATTATTACATCTTTTTTTTATTTTCCATAAAATATTTTTGTAATTTTGGATTAAAAATTTAAAAAATCACCCAGGCTAAGCACAGTCTAAGCGCCACTCTGGTACAAATGTTTACCCAAGTGCGTTTGGACTGTTTATGTACTAGACCGCTTTTCCAATTTTGTGAAAACTATTGAAAAATGTGAAAATGCCGCCAAGCTAAGCACAGTATAAGTGAAAATGTCGCACAGAATTATTTGCAAATGTAGTTTAGACTGTGACTATACGGGAGCACTTTTTCAATTTTGTGTAAAATAGGCAACTATTTTTTTAAAATTAAGTTCGAAATGAAATGACGATTGTTAATGTTCTGGAGATAAATTGATTTATGATTTACATTTGATTTGCTCAGATATAACAAGATAGCAAAAATAATGAAAATTACAGTATTTGTAATAAAATATTTGAAAACGTATAAAATTTCTCGAATAATTCATTACGGTACTGGAAGTTCCAGCAATTTGCCTTAAGGCACGATGCCATACACCGCTAGTTACCAAATTCGTGTTTTACAAACATACTTATAATATTTGTCATTGTATACATTAAATTATTTTTTTTAACACATAATGAGAATTTTTACAGAATACTTTCTACATTTTTCTCCCACTTTAAATCCCCTGTAAATTTTCCCACAAGTATCAAGGTCAAAAGATGTATCCGTGCAGAAAACTATGAGAAAATATGGAAATTTCCTTAAGGGTTAAATCATCCCTTGTGGTTATCCGAGATAGGTAACCGTAACAACACGTGGAAAATGTGGAAACATAAACATGAACTTTTTTCTGTTCCATAACAAACAGTTCAACAGAATTCTTACCTTATCTGTGGCGAAAACTTTTATAGGAAAGAGAACGAGCGTATTATCTGATATATATATATATATATATATATATATATATATATATATTAATTGTTTAATATGAACAAAACAGCACTCAGATTTGTTTAACACAACTTTATTTTATGATTACAGACGTTTGAGACCATGGTGTGTCTCATCTTCAGTGTAATTTCAAAAACAGTTACTTATATACTACACATTCTTTAATAATTTATTTAAATTTCATTTAATTTTTGATATACAAAAAACACCAACTATTCCTTGCAATGCTTGACACAGTACTAAAGAAACATATAACACTTACAGAAATATTCTAAACAAATTTGAAGTACTTATCTAGATGGAGACAGAATGGGTATCATTATAATGTAAACAAAAGGAGTGCTATCGCATACAAAAATCGATAAAAATGAAAAAACAAATTAATTTATTGAAAAGAATAAGATAAATGAAAAAATTTATAAATTATTAATGATGTTTATATAAGTGTCATGTAAAATATTTGTGTCGGTTCTTAGATTTATGCTATTGTTAGTCCGAACTATTAACATTGATTCTGCCATGCTCCGTTTAAATAAGTCTTTCTCATGGAATAAAATTTGGGGATTGTCAAAATCAAACTTATGGTTGCTGATATTAGCATGATCCACAAGTGTACTTTTTAAAAGAGTAATGCTTATAAATTGGACTGGCTTCGAATATATACTAAGAAAAATTGGTTGTAACACAATTTCCTTTATAAGGAAGAGGAACATTTTTATTTAAAGCGATTCAAAAATGTTTGAAACTGATTGTTTTCAATCAATCAGATTTCACAATAGTACAATTTTAAAGATTAATTTAGTATTAATTGTATGATTTGAAGATTGAATTGTATAATATATCAAAGTATTTATGCTAAAAATAATTTTCTATCAATTAAATTTCACAATAGTACAATTTTGAATTCCCCGCCATTTTTTCAGATGCTAATAAATTCGGCTTCGGTGTGAAGTTATGCGTGGGTGTCATTCGTGAATCAATTATCAAATGTAAAAGTTGTAAAAATAGAATTAAATGGTGTTTTTAATGAATAAAGTGGTTATTTAGTGTTAATTGTATGATTCGAAAATTTAATTGTATAATATATCAAAGTATATATGCAAAAAAATCATTATCTAACAATTAAATTACACAATTGTACAATTTTAAATTTCCCGCCCTCTTTTCAGATGCTAACAAATTTGGCTTCGGTGTGAAGTCGTGCGTAGGTGTAATTCGTGAATTAATTGTCAAATGTAAAAGTTGTAAAAATAGAATTAAATTGTGTTTTTTAATAAATAAAATGGTTATTAAGTGTAAATTGTATGATTTGAAGATTGGATTGTATAATACATAAAGGTATTTATGCTAAAATATAAATATAATTTTTTTCTGGACTATTTGTGTACAAATTTTGGAAGTATCGAATGCGTCAGCCTTTTTAATTGTATCTTTTATAAATCTTGCCTATTGTAAGATGAAATTACATGCTTTGATTTCGCCATTTGCTGGATATAACATGTCTTATGAAATATTTCAGTAAGGTGATGTGTATTACATGTACTTAAAATTGCAACATGACCTAACCTAACTTATTATTTTTTCTTTGCTACAGTAAACGATCGGTAGGATAAAATAACAAAATTGTTTCAGTAAAGGCCTATAAATCTTATAATATGTTAAATATAAAAGTATTCTAAACCGAAATGTATAACAAACCCCAACTAACTTTGGAAGGCCGATCCACCCTTGCCTATGGTTCACCCCCTGGGGCCTCCTCTTAGAGGTCTCCCATACAAATATAACAAAAAATCATTGTTTTTCGTATTTTACTCAGCAAAAAATTTTTTTTAAACAATTTCATTCAGATGTTATTCAAACACACACAAAAAACTTTTTTACAAACAAAAAATATTAAAATTCTTCTTTGTTTCAATTTTTCCAATGCATTTTGTCTCTGCGCTTCTATGCTAGCTAGAGGCTGTTGCGGCGACGATATTATGGAGCCGTGCAAAATTTTCCAGACTTGAAACTAAAAAAGACTTCAAACAATAGTTTATGAGTCTTACATAGATAGTTTTATTTACATATCTCATGATTAAATAATTTTTTTAATAAAATAAATCGCAGATTTTTGTCATGTTGAAGTACCCAAAATGATGCAACTTTGGCATGAGGGACCTCTAAAGGGAGGTCCCAGGGGGTGAACCATGGGCATGGGTAGATCGGCCTTCCAAATTTACTGAGAGTCGGTCATACATTTGGACATTATTGAGGCGCTCTAAATGAACCGAAACAGTATTTTTTAAAATTTGATCCGATCTTTGACCCAATGCACGGGACATCAGAATTCATTTTAGAGATATGGTTTCTTCGGCAAAGTATCTTATTTTGATAGCTAGCATACGAAAATCATATGTGCCTATGTGACTTATTTTAGCCATACAAATCGACCCGCCCTGATGTATATACACACACACATATATATATATATATATATATATATATATATATATATATATAGTATATATTCCTATACCTATACCTTCGACGCCTACATCTATAAATCATCGTTGTTTTTACTTTCTCGTTTCATTTTACAAATTCATCCCGCCATATGTTTTCATCGCAAATACAAACCTTTCGGCAAACACTTTGGGGGCGGCGGCGGTCGATGGGAGGGTGCCTACACAAGGGCTCCTCCGACTGCCTGCCGAATCCTCATCAGTCACTAAGCTAACAGATGACCCTTGTTTCCACAATCCTATTACGAATGTGCCTCTCCAATTCTCTATGAAGCATTCGTCAGGCATTTTCACCACCAAACTGAAATTACGATCGCTATCAATCAACCAAGTACAAACTAATTATGTGCTTGCACAAATACTAAACAATACAATAGTAGTAAATATACACACACGTGTATAAATCTACGTGTATACTAGCTGGCCCGGCAAACTTTGCTTAGCCACGTAAAATATTTCTAGAAAAATTTTAGTAAAAAAATAACTGCTGATTGTGCATGTGTAAGTATGTAGTATATAAGTGAAAGAGACAGCTAAAACTAATTATGGATGGTTTACCCACTGCAATGCATGCCACATATATATGTTCCTGGAGCATATTGATGGTCATTGCAAGTGGTAGTTTAATTGAAACTGATTTCATTTAAGGGGGTATTCTAGTGTAGAAATTCAAAAAAATTGTTTTTTTTGTTTCATATTTTCAAAGCTTAACTATCTAAGAATATAGGTACGAGAAGGTTTTTGAAAATTTGAATTATTTTCGGAGATATAGGCATTTCATTGACCCGGTCTCCAAACTGGTTTGGCAGGGTCTAATCGGACAAATGACATTAGGAAGTCATTAGATCAATTTATGACAGTTTATCGTCAGATGAATTATTAATTCGATGTTTAGGTTCAGAAACTCAGAGCAATAATGAATCGTTGATTTGGATTTTCGCGCAGAAACATATTCATTCCCGATCTCGGATAATTGAAATAGCAACATTTATTGCGGTTTTCATATTCAATGAAGGTTTCTTTCCTATTTTAAAAATGATGACCACATTATGGTATTGCAAATTGGGGCAGAAACTCATTCATTTGCTGTAAGACGAGACAATGCCCGGATTGAACGATCTGAAATACGTACATCCAAAGCTTCAAAGGAGGCTAGAACTGCTCGATTTGAATAGAGAAATGCAGAAAATAGTTTTTTGGAAGTAGAAGAATGCATGAAGCATGAATGGCAGATTAAATAATAGAAGTATAACATATCATTTTATGACTTTGACAACAAAAAGCTTAACGCAAACATTTAAATGCGTTTTTCTCAGAACAGACTTTTTCAGCACTGTTGACACGATTTCTCGAGTTCTACTTAACCGATTCACTTGAAATGTTCAGAGAGTCTTGTTTATAGACCTATCTGTAGCCCGAACTAGCATTATCCCCAAATTCCTATATATTTTTACTATATTTAAAAGATTCGAGAAACTCACAAAAACAGTAAAAAAGACACTTTTTTTTCATACAGTCGCCTATTTGTAAAAAAATTACTCATTGCTAATACGGGCGATTGCGACATCATTGCAGATTAATAATCTCTGCATTGCTTTTATTTCGGATGGCTGGCGGGCTGAAACCATGTCAAGACTGAGGTGACAATTTTTTGAAACCCCTCACTTCATCAGTTGCCAGTTTCTTCACTTTTCAACTTTTTAAAAAAAATTTATATTGTATTTTAATAATGTTAATAAACAAGTGGTAAAAAATAGATAGTAAAAACATTCGTTGCTTTCTTTTACGACACTTTAAAAATGACCTAAAGTTCATTGCTCTACACTAGAATACCCCCTTAAATTGAATTGGCAAATTTTGGAAACTTTTGAAATAGTATCATTATCAAATACCATACTTTACCTGTTTTTTAGATAATGCTAGTGGACCTTCTTACTTTTCATTTATCCATTACCTTCCCTGTATCTCATGAATGTATCTATCATAGTGAAACTAGAACCCGGATTGTAATTCTTCTCTTACAAATAGATCGAAATGCGAAAACACGGTGGTATAGCGCAATACTCTCTCTCCGAGTATAAAACAAAACGAAAAGTAGGTTTGAAAAACAAAAATGAAAATAAAACACGAAATAGATGAATTGGAAAGATATCAATTTTCTGCTCACTGATTGCATTGTATGGCGCATCCGTGGCTCATTAGAAATGTAAACTAGTGCTGTTCTTGTTGGCATTGTTTCTATTGGCAATGTCGATTTGTAAACAACAACTATTTAGTAGATAAAGTTTATTTAGTAAATAAAGTTTACTGAAATTGAACATTGTTAACTTCCCGTAGGGTGAGTTATTGTAATCGTCCAAAAATCGAAATTGTAAATTTTTGCATTTCTCGACGTTTTGAAGGTTTCTGAACATTTTGGCATAACTCAGAAAAAATGGATGTGTGTGTATGTATGTCTAGATACAATTTTCCGGTCACGTTTTCGGGCGCACGGATCAATCAATTCGGATGGTTAAAAAAACATTCGATTCCTATTGATAGGTAGATGTGCTGATTAGTTTTTGACAAAGGCAGGTCCAGCCGTTACGGAGATACGGAGCAAAGAGTGCAGATAATACAAATCGAGTTTTTGAGAGAATTGAGTATCGGATTTGAATGATCTAAAAAACGTTCAATTTGTAATGATTGGGAGAAGAGGTGATTAGTTTTTAGCAAAGGCAGGTCCAACCGTTTTGGAGGTACCGAGCTAAATGTGCAAAAAACAGTTTTTAAGAGACCTAAGAATCCGATTTGAATGATTCAAAAAACTATCTGTTTGTGTTGACAAAATAATTGCTATTGGAAAAAAATCCTTTTTTTCTTTTTTTCTTTTTTTTGTGTATCGAAAATAATTCAGATTTTAATTTTAATTCTGGCTAAAGTTCTAAAGTTTACTTATGTATTTTAAATAAATGATTTTAACCTTGTAATTCAGTTTATAGAATTCTTATAAATATTAGACAATGTTACAATATTTATAACAATCTATTCGAAAACATTTAATATTCCTCGAACATTTTGTTACGGTACGGGAAGTTCCAGCAATTTGCCTTAAGGCACGATGCCATACACCACTAGTGTAAATTTGGTCTCACTAGATTTTGAATGTTTTGGAACGTACAAATAGGAAATCGGAATTTCTGGCAAAAACATAAAGTTTAAAATTTTAATTATTCTTTTGCAGCAAATGCCAATATCATGCAAAATTTCACCCACAGATTACGTAATGCACTTTTATATTTATCTCTATCTTTTATACAGATGTTTTATCGCAAAGAGTGATGAAATTTTTACAACTCTTTTCCCTCGGGAACTGTCGGCATGAGATTTCTTCCCGTACTCGAAATGTTCTACAAAACATATAAAAACTATATTTGCTTACGCTGCATATACATGGACGGTTACCTTCGACGTCGCCGAGGTTCAGGTTCAGGTTGAGGTTCTTTTATTGTAATTCTAGTACCCGGAGCAGTAAAAGCTGTGTGTGAAATTAAAGTCCCAAGTTATTTCATTTAAAACGAATGGACAACGAGGAAAATGAAAAAGAAAAACGGGGCAGCGTTTGAAATTCTTTGTGCGATTTGCAATTTGTACGGTACACGGTTACAGTTTTTTACGGGCAAATAATTCTAATGGTAAAGGAAAATTGTTGTTGGGCAATAACTATACAAAGAAAAGTCATATTGGTTAGTTTTTAGATTTTCATTGCCTATTTCACCACAGTGCTCAAGAACACACAAATACATTATTAACTTCCCGTAGGGCAAGTTATAATAATCACAAAAAAATCGAAAA